TTTCAGTTTTCCACTGCTACAAATGATACTACCCACATTTTTTCTGGATCGTCTGTTTTTCTTTTTGTTAAATGATTACCTTAAGGCCCTGGGCATGCTAGCTGCAAGCACTCTACCAATGAGCCACTGCACATCCCAGCCCTAGGTCTTCCATGTGTGGCAGTAACACTATTACTGCTCCAGATGGCTTGAAATCTTCATTCTCAGATATATGCTTTCAGTTGTTGCTATCAAATGGGGTTTTAATTATTATTATTATTATTGATGGTATATACAAGTACTGCTGATTTTATATTTATTTTGTACCTAGTCACTTTACTGAACTCACTCATTCTGGTAAGTTTTCAATTATTTCTCTTAGGTTTTCTAGACACGATGGTGTCATCTATAATGAATGATGACTTTATTTTCTCCTGTATCAAATTTGGGTTCTTGTTTTAATGTATTGGTCAAAGCTTTGCAAGACATAAAAATAACCCTGACAGGGAACATTCTAGCTTAGTGTTTAAGCTGTCACTTTGAACGGTATTTGCCATTTGTTCAAGCAGTTATTCCTATTTTTAATTTTAGATTTTAAATAGCAACTAGGATAGCTATATAATTTATTTATATTAACATTAAACTGTTGAGTTCCTATGATAATTCTGTTGTTTAATCTGACAAGTTTTATTTATTTTTTTACATCTGTTATTTGTAAGATAGATTTTGTATCTTCATTATCCAACACATTAGCCATTAATTAGCCACATGTTGGCTCCCACATACTGACACACAGCTGATCTGCACTGACATGAGCAATAAGTATAAACTACACCTTAGATTTTGAAAACTTAGTTTGAAAAAATAATATCTTAATATTTTACATAGACTAGATAGAAATTATTAGCATATACTAGATTAAACAAAATGTATAACTGAAATTTATTCCACTTCCTACTTTTTTAATGTGGCTCAGAGTAATTTAAATAACACATGTATTATGCACCTTTTTGTAAACAACACAGAATTCTTCAAAGATTTGCATGGCATCCTTGCAAAGGGGTCATGCTAATCGCTGTATCATTCCAATTTTGGTATACATGCTGTCGAAGTATGTTATGTATTTATCAGGCATGTGCTGTTCTACTGCTTATTTTTTTTTTCTCATTGAGTTTATTGGTACATTTTAGGTATACAGTACAGTTACGTTCATCATTGGGATCTTGTACCTTTACATGACAGGTCTTGGTTCTCATTTTTTACTGCTTATTCTTTATAAAGACACATGTTAAATACTCCTATCAGGGTTAGATCTGCTTCAGAGAATCAAATAAGCCATGTGTGATCTATAATCTGGAATATCTGCTATAAATAGGGATATATGGTTCCGACAGCTTGAAAGAATTCACCTAGATTCTACCCTTCCCCACTCCAGCCTATGTTTTTTGAGAATTTTTGAAGTTAGAAGTCTGTTCTGATATTCTTCTATAAAAAAATAAAGCCTTAAATACTAGGCACTGTCACAACTGGATAAGCTATATTAAATACTAGAGTAAATCAGAGACTTATTGATAGCATTTCTAAATTTAGTATAAAAGCCCTACAAAGGTTTCTCACTTGACTGTTTATTACTGAAAATGTAACAGACAGCTTTTTCTTTGTTTTGGAAGCTATAGAAACATTTTCTCTTCACACCAGGGTTTGGCTAATATACTTTTGTGGCTATGCTTTCATGACCATGAGTAGACAAACATTTGGGCTGTTTTTCTGATCACTAAAAAAACACACCTCGGGCCAGGGATCTAGCTTAGTGTGCTGCCGCCTGTCTCGTAAGCGCAAGGTCCTGAGTTCAATCCCCAATACCAAAAAAACAAACAAACAAAAAAAACAAAAAAAAAAAACCCAAAAAACAAAACACACCCTATGCTGGGCATGGTGGCACAGGTCTATTATCTCAGCACTCAGAGGAGTCTGAGGCAGGAGGATCACCTCAAGTTTGACACCAGCCTGGGCTGCATAGTTAAGTTCAAGGCTAGCTACACAGCAAGATCTATCTCAAAAAAGAAAAGGAAAAAAACATATCTTGAAGGCTGAGGGTGTAGCTCAGTGGTAGAGCACCTGCTAAGCATGCTGAGTTCAATCCCCAGCATTCTCCTACCACCCCCACAAAAAAGAAAAAAAAATATACCCAACTTTTCGGCGTGAGAATGAAGTTTAACCCATTCAAGCCCATGTTAGCGACCAGGCTACATGACTTAGGTCCCACAGACTTGAGGCCAGTGTGGCTTCCGTTAGGAATAAGAAAATGTATGGAAGGCTACATGCTTCCTGGCTGTACAGGAGAAGCTCATAAGCACAGCACTCCTAAGGCAAGATAACATCTGCTGAGAAGAAAACAAAAAGAATGCAGGAATGTAGATAAGGGGAAGGATGTAATCCCCATTAACTTGATCCCTTTGTGAGGATTAACTTATTCCTTGTTTTATATTGTCCCATTCTTACTGCAGTCACTGTTTCAGGAAAAGTACTCTACAGCTCCCCCTGAGCTTCTTGCTGGCTAATAAAAGCGGGTCAACTGCAGAGTTTATCATCCACTAGAGGCCGGCTCCTCCTGGTCCCCCTTGTACCTTGAATATTGTCTCTGCCTCTCTTTATTCCGTCACCCCTGCTCTGAAGGTATCTGAAGGTCTGATCAGCCCCTGGCGCCCAGTCATTTTGCTCTTATTTTATTTCTTTATTTTTGAAGCAGAGTCTCACCAAGTTGCCTAGAACAGCTCTGAATTTGGGATCCGCCTAACTTAGCTTCCCAAGTAGTAGGTTTATAAGCATTTGCCATGGTACCAGACTCCTACTTTTATATCTCAGTGCAAGCCTAGAAATAGTTTCTGGGCTACCTGACTTCTACTCCAGGTACTCACTTACTAAATGCATGACCTTGAGCAAGTTAATCACTTAGTATTAGTCAATCTTTTCATCTGTAAAGTGGGGAAAACAAGATCTACTTCAGAGTTTGAGAATTAAATGAGATAGAGTATACAAAGCCAATAAAAAATGTATACTACAAAAACAGGGTACCCCACAATGTTATTAGCTTCTCTCAGGGCTGAATGTAAGATCACTAACAAAGTTTCATCCACTAATTAGAAGCTTAACATCCACTAACAAGTTGCTTGCTATCCATAGGACCTGTCATTACCGACTAAGAAACAGCACTGTCAACACATAAACTAAATCTGGGTCATTGTGATACTACTGAATCACTCAACCCCTAGCAGAGGCAGGAAAAATCAAGGTTGTACCCAACAGCTCAGACAAAGAAATCATCATGTCTTCAAGATGATTTTCCAAGGGATGCAAAGGAAGTTCATTTTCTTCCCTGGTAGCTTCTACCTAGGATCTCCTTTCCCAGGTGCAATCCCTTGGTCTCAGCTCAGTCCAATGCTGAACTATCAAGGTCATTTGTGGCCAATGAGGGTAAAGAAACAATCTCACCTTTTCCCTCTGCTGCTCCCCTTATCTGCAGAACCAGAGCCTTTACCACTCCCAAAGATATCCACCTGCTCCTCACCTTGGAGTTTCTACCCATTTACTTCTATAACCCAGTGCTTCTTAGCAGAAATATTAAACCCAAATATCAAGCATTCTTATCTATGAGACCTGTCTTTCTGGAAGGGAATTAGGGAAGAGAGAAAATACAGGACTGTAGCTAGAAGTGCAGATCTAGAAAATCTCAATAGTGGCACTTACTTCTGGCACAAAGGCTAAGAAGCTGTAAGAGCTTCCACAACGGGTGAAGGAGAAGACGCTAGTTGTGACAAACAGGTGAGGATGACAGATGGGAAAGCAGGTAAGCCAGTACACAGCAGTGAAGGAGGCGACAGCTGTGAATTTTTCTCCAGTAGGAGGTCTTCCTGCCTCCACTTTCTCCTCTGCCACATATCACCATGCTCTGCTGGCTAAGCTACTCATCCTACTCCTTTCCTTGTCAGAGATCTCAATTCCCCCAGCCAGGTGCACAGCAGATCTGAACAGTCTTAGAAATCTGAATTCTCCAAGGAAGACTGGTATAGATGGCGGCAAGAACCCCAAGATACTGAGGAGCGAAGACAGCTTTTCAGAGGCTGACCTGTAGATCTGAAGAGCATCTGATCTTTTCTTTTTTCAAATAGCAAATGTTCTCAGATTCTAAAGAAGCTCATATAGGTAGAATGATGAGCATACTGGAAATAGTGTACATGTTCTTATGTACTGAAGTAACATGTAGTATACTTATAAATAAAAGTCCAAGAACTTGAGATGAATTTGTGGAACATTACTCCCCTTCCCAATTAAATTTCAATAACTATGTAAAGTATATAAAATGATAAGATACACTGGAAGGAGGGAAAAATAACCATGGGAACATAGCACTTAGGGGCAGCTTCACTAATGAAATGAGACTTTTGCTGAACTCTTGAAATACTACATGCATCTTCAAAGGAATAGAAAGCTTTATATTTTTTTACACAGAACAGAAAACTTTCCCCTCCACCCCCTACTTCTAAAAAATATAAAACACTCATATTTATAATTTAGTTTTTATTTACCTGTCATGTTAAAGTCAATAAGTAACCAAGAACAGCATGCAGTTTTCAAGACCTAATATTTGTACAATATATAACATTTTCTTTCTTCTGGGGGAAAAAACTGCATCGGGCATATTTTCCTTCATATCAGTTTGCTCTAGTAAAATCAGTTTTCTTTCTACCTTTCCTTTTAATGCTTTCAAATACTTGGCTCTTTGGCATCACTACAAACCACAAACATTACTCAGTAACTTGATTTTTTTTTTCTAGAGTCCAAAGCATTCTTTTGTCTTTTTTTTCCTATGAATCATTTCACAAAAAACGGAGATAATAAGTATGCACTCTGTCCAGTAGCAGCAAACACAGGGAGACAGCAGGAGGCAAAAGCCATAGTCACCGATGTCTAGAATTTAGTGCTATCATGGTCGTTCATCTTTAATTATCAGCCCAAATTACCTTTGTCTGTTCACTGTCAGGGTCTTCAAGCCAAGCATAAGGATCACAAATTTTATGTCCATGATAATCTTGTACCTGTGAAAGACAAAATAAAATGTTTGGTAATTAGTGCCAAAATGCAATTAAAACTAGTATTTCCTGAAAGTGACAGAGAAATAGGACAGAGACTGACAAAAATACGAATTGGCTCATTGGCAACATGTCTGCCTAGATCACTACAAGAAGCCAAACTGGCAGGTTCTCAAAGGTGTCAAGCCATTCTTCCTGAAAAGAATGTTTTCACTGGCCAGGGAAGTCAGAAGAAAGGTCAGAATGGGAAAGGGCTTTGTCTGTACAACAGAAAACAGGGCTGCTGCTGTGCTAAAGAAACTGGAAAATGCTTTTGTCAGGGCCAAGTTCAGAAGGACACAACGCAGTGGGCACGCCAGAAAGACAGCCCGCAAGGGAGCCACCATGCATGTACTTATGTTCCTGTCCTTGTTCGGCCTGCCCACAATTAGGAAGTGTCTCTTTAACACAGTGTAAGATCGGTTTTGTTTTTAAGTCTAAATCAACCCCCAAAAGTTAATGACTACGCAGTATGATTCTGTAACCAGCTAAAAAAAAAAAGCGCACCTACATGCAATGACAACATTTTTACAGTAAATTTTTTTCCTTTTTACAGACTACTACGAAATGCCTTCTTTTATTATTCATAACAGGAAGGCACAAAAGCATCCCACATTTAGGCTATCCTGATATTTGAAGAAATAAACATCTTTAAGCAAATAAAGCCTGTTTGAAGGAAAGATTTCTGGAGCTGCCACCTGGAACTTCTGATGGCACAAATTCTGGGGCCTGGCTTGGGTGAGTAGTTGAGGAACGAGGACTAGTGGGCTAGCTTGTCACCACTCTGCAGGTGATTATGCCTGAAGAAATTATCCAAAAGAAAATCATCAAGAAACCTCTCCGCCTCACATGATCAAGATTAATCCTATTAATTGAAACCATGTTGACAATAGCTTTCCAATCAAGTTTGGAAAAGATTCTAACATTCTGGTTATGACTTCCTTGTACACAGGCTACCTGAAAAATTATTTCTCCCTCAGATTAATTTTTAATCTTTCTCTTTCTTGCTTTGCCCCTAAAATAACAGACTGTTTAGAGCTACTCTTTAAGAAAACTATATGCTCCTGAAAAAAGAACATTTGAATGTTACTTAAGTTCCAGCAATGGCCACTGTCAGGTGAGGACAATCTCCCCAGCCTACTGGACAAGGTTTCTGCATCTGTCCTCTCTGATGCCAGGTCAAAGAACTGGGAAGTGCACAATTCAACCAATGGGCAGATAAGATGGAAAGTTCTAGAACTGTTTTCATCAGTTGACTGACAAGAACAAGGGACATTAACCTGATGGGTCTTCCCTAGAATCACCAATTTTCAATCTTTAGCTGATCACCACTGAATGGAAACTTTTTTCTTCTCATCTGCAAGTCTTTTACATTTCACCTACCTCGTTGAGGTTTTAAAATAGCCTTACAATAACAACTTTCTTTTCCCTGACAATACAACATTAGAATAATTTTAACTTGTAAAGGATCTTCCAATCCAGCATCTTGAGGAGCAATAGCAGGCACAAGATTGGGCCACATAGGGCCGGGAATTTAGCCCAGTGGTTCCACCACCTGCCTTGCTAGCACAAGGACAGAAGTTCAATCCCCAGTATCAAAATAATAATAATAATAATAATAATAATAATAATAATAGCCAAGATTGGGCCACATGCCCACAGTGGGCACATACCAGATACCTTAAAAATGGCCTCACCCATACCTGGATGGATAGAACAGATTAACTGGAAATCACATTAGCTGTGTGATTAAGTGAAGGTGTTATCAAGTGCTAGACCCTAAGTCATAAATATTTATTGAATATCCCTCTAGGCGCACTGATATTTCTATTTAACAGATTACAAAATGCAATTCAGAGAGGCTCATAAAGGTAAAGGCCAACAGATTTACTATTTATGCAGAAAGTGCCACCAGTTAAATATTGTGCCATAGATTTCATCCACATTAACTCATTTGAGATTACACGTGGGCTGCCACCCACCTGTAGCTAGCGCTAAAGCTCGTGTAACACCCGCTCTATCACTCAGGTAGTGAGCCAAGTCAGGTGTAAGAAGGCAGGTGGACCCCATCTCAGAACCCAGTGGATCAGACTCCCTGAATGGTCTTTACCACGACCTGGCACGACTGTCTAAAGCAGACTGAGGTCAGTTATTGAAAAGACACCTTTAAGGGGGATGAGGAACTGATTCCCTAGGACAATCCCAGGAGCCACAGCCCTTAATTTTTCTCCTTTTATAAGACCATACCTTCCTTACAAATGGTCTCATACAGCTATACTTTAAATGCAACTCACACAGTATCTAAGTTTGTAAACCATCCCTCACTTCAAAAGGCTTTAAAATAGAGACTCTGATACATTGTACTACTTAATCCTGCTCCATACTTTACCTTCAGGAGAAAGGGTAGACTCAAAATACAGCAGGCTCGACCCATCAGACCTGGTCCTCAAGCTCCTCTTCCTGGCCCCATTCAAGCTTACCCATCTATGATCACAATAGCCTGCTTACCATCCCACCTCCCACAAGGACCAGACCTGTGTAACTATGGCTTTAGTGTGGTCATATGGTCAGGTATGTCCTTTTTCCCATAGCCAACTTGCAACCTCCAGGCTCCATTATCTCCTTCTAATGAAATCAGTCCTATTCTCTTCTGTGCTCTCCCACCCAGCACCCTTCCGTCAGGGTATGAGTCGCCTGAAGCAAGCCTGAATTTACTGATGTGAACACTGAGAATGGTCAATGGCACTGCCCAACAAGAGCCACGGTTTACAAATTCTGCCCAAGAAGGCGGGTTCCACCAAAAAGCTTTCATGCTTCAACTCTGTAATTCCACAGGAGACTGCTGAGCCTGTGGCTGAAAGATGCACACATGAAAGATAGACAACTATACCAATGGCCAGCACATGCTAGTGGGGAACAAACCACCCTCCAAACCAAAGGTTACAATTTAAGCAAATGTGTAAGTTAAACCTAGTAATTAGTAACGCCCTGCTGCAGGAAAAGGTACTGTGTAGGCTATGAAGGCAGTGTAAACCCACAGAAGGAGTTGGATCTGGGCTACCTCTCCTGGCTCATGAGGCTTAGGGTTATCCTGAACCCTCTGGATGAGAAGAAACTAAAGTTAATGATTTGTAACCTTTCAGAAGTCTTCATAAAGTTTCTACTTAACCCTTTCAGATACTATTAAACAAAAAGGAAGTATAGGTTTTTTGGTACCCAGAGTAGGGATAAAATAAGCAAAAAGCAGCCTCCCTTTAAAACAACAACGGTACTTATCAAACCACAGTGCAGTGCTTTATAATTTTTATTTATCCCCAAAAGCAGAGTGTCAAAAACCAGAAATGAGACAGTTATTTGCCTTACTGGTCCTACAGCCTGGCATGTGAACGGATACATGACAGCAACTTTACTATGGCAAGTTGGCCCTGTGGTCATATTCAAGGTGCAAAAACAGGGAAGAGAGCTTCTCAAAGTCACCCCACAAAGGAGTGACAAAACCAGAACTAGCACTCAGGTCTTCTTTCATAATCCATCCTCTCCCATTCCAGCAGGATTGCTTTACTCCCACACACATGGGAAATAACCCTTCGCACCACAGGAAGAGCTTCTTGGACTGTTAGGGAAAATGTAGTAAGCAAGTGGCTTAACAGACTGGGAACACACCTACCTGATAGCCACTGGTCAAAAATCCATGAACACCTCAGCAGTCTCAACAATATGTCCTTTAACACCTCAGCACCCTTTACCCCAATGTGCAATACACTGGGCACAGGGTACAGACTTTGTTTAAATAAGGCCAACATAAACAGGAGAAGACACTATTATACAAAAATGCTTCTACCCTAATTGTATCTCAAGTAATCTGAGAAATGTACTAAGAGAATCATGACCGCGATGTTTGGATTCAGTCCAGATGTTATAACGCCAAGCTAATATTTACACACACACACACACACACACACGTTTATCCAGAATTTCACTCGCTGGATCTCAACAGTTACCTCGAGCTCATCTACAGCTTTAAATAGCAAACTCCCAGTAAGTAAAACTTACTCATTTTGAAAAGGGTCAGTCGGGTCCGTGCTGTGCCTTCCCCACCTCTGCAGCTCCCCCAGCAAACAAGCCCAGCGCTCAGCCCCGGGCAGGTCAGGCTTAAAAAGAATGAATGAGCTTCAGCTGAGGACATCAACACTCTAAGTTCTGAAAGTTTGCCTTCGCTCTTCAGTCTTACATCATCCTACACCAACACACCGAAACACACTACCGTACACTCTCTTACCACCATATTTAAGCCAAAAGGCTTCTCTAGTCAAAAAGCAGTGACACCTGCCGTCTCCTCGCTCGCTCACGGCGCCCACGCCGGCCCGGGCGTTTGCCCTTGATCCCCACAGATGTTAGGGAGCGGCCATGAGGCTCCGGGCGCCCGACAGGGGCCG